AGAAATAAAAGACTGACAACAGATATAGTAGGAGCCCCGTACCAGCAAGCGGTGAATAGTTAATCAGATGTTGAAAACAGGCGACTGGGTTGGGGTTTTTAAATTGACTTCAAAATGCCCAAAACTGACTAGCATAGGGCGATGCGTGACAGAGCCATTACTTTGATGGGTGAGCACATCGAGATACTACTGGCAACAGTGCCTGCAAAAAAGAGTGTATGACGTGGAGGGGGGCAAATTATCCGCCTGTTGTGCGTAATGAATTATACAAATTGGAGTGCAATAGGATTTTTCAAATACTATAATAGGTTCAGTTCAGAAATGCACGACGGTTAGGATTCTCAGTGCAGCTAGAAAAAAACATAGGACTCTTGACAAAGACATGACGGGAAACAGCTTAATTTCAAGGTGATGGTACATGGTGTGGACCTAATGCCAGTCTCCAAATGTTCTTTAGCACCCAAACTAGAGTGCCAGGAGGTTATCGGTAGAATTGGAAGACTCCTCTGAAGCCACGTAGGTACCCTATAATGGGCTCAACGAGGTGGGGTTAAGAAACCATAACTTTATGTCGCCCGACGGCTATGATCTGCTCTTTGAGCTGATGACTTACTGCTACACCTCCCACCGGGTAACTGACCGCTGTAGTGTCGTCTATAAAACGTCGGCTCGAATAAGTTGAAGTTATTTTTTGCACATAACTACACTGGACCCAAAGCTGTCACCTTGTTGTGGTGGTCGGACTTCTGGCCTTCAATGATCCAGTGGGCCACACAGGCTGGAACTCAGTTCCTAAAGGTTCAACCATGCCAGGAAGGCCAACGGAAGCAGTCCGACGAAGAACAGCGAGTAATCATATTACGCGGCGGTCAGGAGGTAAAGTCGTACTGTCCTCTGCAACAAGATTGTGAAAGCAGTAAGGGGTTCCCCTCAGACGACCAGAATGCCCATATTTATGGGGGCAGCGACGATGCCTTCCCCCGGAAAAAGACGGGTTAGACATCCACTCACTGCCTTGTGGGTCAGACTTTTGAGTTACAGGCCTTCTCCGGCCTGAGCAACCGGGAAGTATCAGTTTCCCTTGCAGCTCTTTAATCACCAGTCTTACCCCCTCATTTCCTCCCAATCCATCGTGCAGTGCAATCAACCCATTTGCCAACCCCCCAGCCACTGTTCCGTTTCTCAACCATCGCCCAGAAAAATAAACCAAAATCAACACCTGCTAACCTCAAATATCTGATCCCCGTTGCAACCTTCAATGTCCTTACTCCATGTCAAATTAAGCAACAGGCATCCCTTGCTGAAACCTTACTTTCCCTCTCTATCGATGTATATTGTGTATCCGAAACACGGATACAAGACCCCACTTCGGTAGTGCTCCTCAAGCCGCTTAGGACGAGCCCAGATGTTCCACATTTCACTATTCGGGCATCGGGTGATCCTGACGCAATGACTCGTGGTATCTACGGTAAGAGAGTTGCACTCAGCCCCAAGGCTAAAAGCGCCTTACTTGACTGGATCCCAGTAAACAGTCACGTTTACGCTGTGCGGTTGTCTGGCTCATCTAAGAATAGCGCAGGTCGATGCGGTAAACGGTGCTTGTTTGTCGTATTAGCGTATGCCCCAACAGACTGCAGTTCTGAGAATAAGAACGAGTTTTACCAAGATCTGTGACGACCACTTCGGTCGGCAGGAAGGACGGATATAGTGACCCTGACGGTTGATATGAATATCCAAGCTGGATGACGAGCCTCAGTTAAGGATTGTCGTTCCTCCTTGGGTACAAAACTTGACTCCGATCACGCCACCGTGCGGGTAAGTTTAGCACTTCACTTTCCGCCAGCACTACGTGTGCCGAAAAAAAGCAGCTCTGTTCATCAACTTCGACAAGTTTCAGTAGCTGAAGAGTATCGAGCTGATCTGGCTAGAAAGCAACGAGGAACGCAGTCATATGGACGACGAAGATTGTTTGGAGGATGAATGTAGGCGAGTTAAAGAAGCAATGCTGTTTTCAGAACTATTTGTCCAGCCCATCTGACTCAACTCAATGAACACTGGATATCTTCGAGATCACTGCTGCCAGAAAGGCCATATCAGCAACTAAAGATGGCGTACGCATATCCCTCAAACATCGGACAATCAGGAGCTTAAAGAAAGACAGAAAACGCTGGTGGATTTCGAAGGCACGGGAGATGGAGGTTTTCGCTGCAGGCAACAGTCGCACCCTGTTTAAACTGATTCTATCAACAGGTCGAAAGAAGACACGTGTCAGTGAGACAATATGGAAAAAAGGTGGAACAGCGATTCACTCCATCAATCGCCGCCTTCAGCAGTGGGCTGAGCACTTCAAACAGCAGTTCACCTGGTCTCCTTCAACACAACTGCTAGAAGGACCAAGCGGGCCCGAATGGGACGATTACACCAACCCACCATCAGCAACCGAAATCTACTGAGATTTCAATCCTGAAGCGCGATAAAGCACCTAGCTCGGATGGTCTTCACCCCACGCTCTTCGGAAAATGGCGAGGTCCTGGCGAACAGTCTGACAACCGTAGTACAGATTTGGAACGAAAACATTATACCAGGTGAACGGAACTCCTCGACCATCATCCTAGTTTTCAAAAATGGAGCAAGAACGTCATAAGGAAGCCATCGTGGTACCAGACTGGTATACGTCGGATCTAAGGTGCTCTCTGGCGTTATTTTGCGCAGGTTGATGGATTATCGGGAGAGACAGATTCGTGAGAATCAAGCTGGGTTTCACCCTGGCCGAGGATTCATCAACCATATCTTTACCTTGAGACAAATTCGTGAACAGCGCCACTCCTTCAAGCGTCCCACGTTGGTCGTTTTTCTGGATTTGAAAGCTGCTTTTGATTCTGCCGCACGGTTTGGCATGCGATTCACACCTGCAAAGTGCTAAGTGCTGTCACAAGACGGGGCGGGATCGAATCCACACCTTGTGTCTTCAGGTGAGCCAATCGATATGGCAGATAAATGTTTTCCCGGGCAGCTATGTAAGTTCCGGTGGACTAGCTGGATATGAGATTATTTCTCAAATCGGAAAGGCCAGAACATTTTTTGCCAAGTTCCGACACCCATAGCACCGATGTGTCGTGAGCTTGTCTGTCAAGGGGAGGGTTTACACTATGCTGCTTTGTGGATCAGAGACGTTGCCCCTGCGTGCGGAGGACATACGAAATATATCAGCGTTCGACCATCGGTGTGTCCGAAGCACTGATCGGAACATCGGATTAGCAATGCTGAGGTACACCAGATGGCCCTAGGAACAAGGAGCTTTCCCACGATAGACGAATTACTCATGCTTCATAGTTTGCGCTGGTTAGGACATGTACTCCGCATGCCAGAAGACCGCCTGTCTCGCAAAGCTCTTTTTTCGAGCCCTGTGCTGAGTGGAGGCGACCGAGAGGTGGACAGTGTATGACCTGGCAACGAAGTACGAAAGCACAAACCAGTGGCGCTAGTGCATCAAAGCTATCGCTTTCAGTGCGTAGCTACCCAATTTCCGAACAAACTGAACATGACTTTGCCTCCATGGCTTGGTTGTACGTTGCACATTTCCGCTTTCCGTTGGTCGAAACTGTAGCAGCTGGAACCAATGTGTATATGGTATACAGTTTATAGCCGATAAATTGAGTTGAATGAATAAAACAACGTTTTGTTGTTTGGTCAAGCGATACCACGCAAGTAAATTCTGTCTTTATTAATTCTTCTGAGTAAACTGTGCAGTACGCGCCAGCCACTTTTGCGCGAGGTTGCACTTTAAAACAACTCCGAAATACAAATACTTGGTAATGAATCAGCGCAAGTAACTTATGGGTTTCGAGTGGGTTACAATTCAAATATACCGGGAAAAGACTGTACAGTTATATGGACGTGATGAAAATACTATTTCCGTAAATTTCTAAGTTAACCCTATACTTCCTTGGAGGTACTATTACAACCGGTGACTGTTTTCAAAAGTGCGGATTCTCTAGAAGTGCAGGGGCCAAAGTCCAGTACAAGGCTCGAGCTATCTCAGAGGTCAAAGTGCGAACTTATCGACCCCAACCCCAGCATCTCGACTGTTCCAGGTTTGGACAACCTGGCAGCATCCGTCCTTGCGTTTCCTCCGGGTGCATGGAAGTTAGGCACAAAAAAGGCGTCACAGCCGAACGATGATTATTACTAAGTAGAAGGCTGCCACCAAGAAGCAGACAACAAAGGCACGTTCCCAAAGTCGCTTCTTCCAAGAAAAGTCACATTCCACAAAGGTACAATTAATGGAAGAACAAGTAATTCGCGGGGATTGAAGTGGAGTTTCCGCGCATAAGCTGAAGCTCTATAAATCCTGCAGTGTTCCAGGGAGGCATTTAACCATACACACCACCTCAACACATCCAGTCACTTCTATCTCTGACTGCGGAACTCTCTTCCTCTGTAACCTTTATTCTAAGGTTATAATAACCCCTAAACATCTAAACCTCGAGCCAGAGTAAATCTCCTTCATCCACTCCAACGTTTGTGGTTCCAAATGCGTTGTTCACATGTTTACTGCATTTACCAGAATTGTGAGGGCGAGATCTCTTTGGTTAGTATCCGCGAATGATGAAAAGATTAAGGAATACAGTGATTCCGTTATCAATTTTTCCCAACCCATTATGCGGCAATAAACCACGGTTCGTACATGGCTCTCGATTAGGAAAGAAAAGAAAGGACGAAAGGGTAAGGACGCAAGAGGAACCTAAAGATTATCCCGCAACAAAGAGCAGGATTCTTAGGTAAATTCGCCCTTTAATGTGGAAAATTGTGCGAATCCTTCTCTGGGTCACAAAACCAGCTGAGAAAGAAAACAAGAGCGGCACAATTGACAAATAACCTAGAACAGAGAAACGTGACATAAGCGAAATTTTAAGACGGAAGGTGACTAATCCATCGGATGTGGAGGAGTTCAGCGAATCAGTATTCTTTGGATTGAAAGCTGGGGATTTTTAGGTCCATTGAGAAAAAATTACTCGGAATCATCACTGGCACTGGAAGACGCTTTAGAAGAATTGGATCCACTTCCGGATTCTTTCTTATCGTGCGCCGACACTCCATTACTTTGGGACTTTTCGTTACCACTACTTTTTTCGGAATCGGTGCCGGACTTTGAACTCGCGCTTTCACTAGTCGAGGATTCCTCCTTATCAGAACCACTTTTCTCTGATGTGCTCGCTGACGAAGACTTTCTACTGGCTGTCTTCTCTTCCGCATCCTTAGCTTCGTCAGATTTTTCAGCTGCAGTTTCTATACTTTCTTCGGGTTTAATGTCCTCTTCGACAGAATTCTCCTTACTCTCCGAAGCAGTTACAGCTTCGGACGTTTCCACCTCCTTCTTTTTCTTAACTTTCTTTGGTTTCACGTCCTTCGCTTCCTTCTCCACCTCATCCTCATTGGATGATTTTCGTTTCTTGGACTCTCCATCTCCATTTTCAGCTTTTTCACTGCTACCAGTGGATTTCTGAAAGGAACATAAACGTAACAGCAGGCTACGACTTACTTGTTCAGATTCAGACTCCTCATCACTGGACTTGGCCTTCTAACAGAAAGTAACAGAGCTAGTACACAACGTACCTCATCACCGTTCGACGTGGTGGACTTTTCCTGAAAACAGGATGAGCAGTCTATTTCATTGTTCGCAGTTAGACATGCATGAAGAAAGGGTAGCATTCAAGTAACATGCATTGCAGACTGGGGGAGGGACGGATATTTGGCATGCCGACAATACCTCTTCGGAAGGTTCATCCTTTACCAATGAAGTGAACGGTTTCTAAATCAGTTACAGAGATAGGTGATACAACATACTGGTTTTTCTCCAGGAAGTCGGAGAAAAATCTCCAGCTCTTCCAGTTCAACAGCATCCCTGAACTCGCTATAACCCTAAAATCGGGGTAAATGTTTTTGTACAAACAGAGGGCGTGGACCTTACCCCCAAGTACTCATCATCTAGAAATATGTGCGGAGGTATAAGTGGTTTATCAAACTTTTTTATTTCCTCGTAGATCAAGTTTTTCGTCTCTTCGTTGTTCGGCTCTGAAAGATCAATTTTCTCGAAGTCGATCTTTTTCGCATCAAGGAGAGAAATGATATCAATTTGCTGTTTCTTCACCTACAAACTCACATTCTCAGCCAAACGAGGAACCAACCGCCATACTTCCTGAAACGCTACTAAAGTAAACTCGGACAACCATTTCGGTTACGAATAGTGCAACTTGTGATCCAAGACCTGAGAGAAGGGATCAAATGAGAAAAAAGTCTGGACAATGTCAGTAGTAAAGAAGGCCGACAATGAACTGCATCTTTCAAGCAGTTGAGTAAAAAACTTAGGATATGTCAAAGTACCGTTAGAAGATGCGGTCACTTGTAGAAAAATATGCAGACGAGCTGTGAAACGTAACACTTCCGAGGAGAGTGGAAAAGCGTCAAATTTAATTCAGAGGGGAGATGTAGGAAGCGGGGTGAGTGATTACAAGTGCGCTAATAATTTCGTAGTTTCCAACAAACGGATAAACGGACTTCAGCTCCCTCACCTCGGCAGAGGTCATGCATCAGTGCGGCCAAGACTTCTGATATTCCTTTGTAATGTCATAAGCTGCTGATCTATGGCTCTCCGTTATACCAATCCTGATGGAGCACATAAGGCCATCTATGCAGATAATCTTCACATTTATAACACATGATCTAACAAACGCAACTGTTGTAGTTGTGTCAGACTATCGAGTAAGCACCCGATGAACAGCTTACCAGACAAAATACGACGCATTTCAACCTGGGTAAGAGATTATTCCACATTAGAAACACTGCTCCCATGCGTGAGGAATACTTTGTAGATATCAACCATCGAGTGTTGATTCTCCGTATGGAGTTTTAGACCAATAACACGGCGTTGGTCGCGCTGCAACGCTATACCCTTCTACATTAGAACAGCAAGAAAACGTAAGCCATGACTTAGGTACTTTTGCTGCTCCAATGTAGCGGACAGGTATGTCTCAGTGTTCACGGTTGAGTAGAAGCTGTAGTCTGCAGTCGTGGTCAGTTGCATTGGCGTGATATTAAGAGTACAAAGGTCGATAACTCCCATCGGGTTGGCTGATCTATCGCCAAGCGGAGGCTTATCTCGCACCTTCCCTTGAAGATTGCTGTGATCCAGTTTTCGCGCTTCTTGAGAGCGATCCTAGAATATACACTTGATCTTTGGGAACACCTGTTGGATAGTGACAGCCTCTGTCCTATTTGTGGAAGCTGGGGAAGGAAGTGTGATTAGAACCATAGATTCGCTTGCCTCCATCTCCCCGTAACCATTCTGAGTGAAGTGATGCGTATTTACGTGTGGCTACGACACCGCCAAAGAGCGATGGTACCAGTTTTGTTAGCATGGCTGTCCTGGGAAATGACTCTCAGACGATAGTCTTCGGCTCCCTCTGTCCACTAGACGCCGTGGCGGTCTTGGTTGGCGCGTCAGAGAGGTGGATAATCTTTTCCGCAGCCAAAGGATGGGGAGCACTGGGTAATTATTCAAGGAGGAAAGGTCGTTGTCGACTCGTTCAGACCGCTATGCTATTTGTTTGCTGCTTCTAAAGCGTTTGACAGAAGTACCAGGTTATCATCGAGTGACCCAATTTGAATGGGACGTTCGCACTGTTCTTCCCAACTTGGAAGATGCGACCTGTTTTTTGATAACCACCGTGTTATTTGTGGAACACGCAGCACCCAAAGGTAGAGGTAGCTGGTGCATACAAAGGGTCAAGCAGAGTTAAATGATCAGCTTATCCGGTCATTTTGCGAGCCAATACGCTTAGAATGTCACCATACCTGGAAAGCGTGATATCGCGTACCACGTGTTCCATTCTATGGACACCCACTTCGTCCAAAACTGTTGTGGTCCACCGATAGCTGTTGCGGACAGCCTGTAATAGTCTGGCTCAGTATTGAAACCGAGTGCACCACAAAAATGCAGTTCAGTCTGACAGGGATTTTCACACAGAGGTTAAATGGAAGTGAAAATTTCAGCCAAATGACACGTGTTAACTCGAGTGTGCGACATCCACTGTTTAACCTATTTATAGATCTATAGATCTATGTACACATGAATAGGTTAAACGGCGGAGGCCATATGGCACCAGTAAGTTGAGCAAGTAAGTTGAGTAACAAAAATTACTTGGGCTGTCACAGATATGGCTGCGTACGAACCTGCCGGGAGGCGAGCCGCTCCAGATGCCGGGGGTTGCGTTGGTTGTATGGATGTACCGCACGTCTGTAACGGACCAAACGAGGGCTAGCCCCTGTTGGTCAGAATGTGGACCAATCAAGATAGACGTCACGAATTCACAGGATCGAGGATTTCGGCCAAGTTTCCCGGGTCGGTCTCGCTCTTGTTGTCCAGCGGCTGTCATTCGCCTAAAATCCATAAGTGAAAAAGGGTGTGGCAGCGTGGAGAAGTATATTTGTAGACTCGAGAACTCGCATAAAAGTGTCTGATAGTGCTTTCATCTGGGTTCCAGATGGGGCGTGGACAGCCGTCGGGAGAAGTTATTCCACGCAGCACTACCCGAAATGTGTGCAGACATCGTTCTCGTCTTCGAAGAGGAGAAGGCGCGGGTATTTTCGGACGCATTGACCAAAGTCCTTTATTATGCACTTTGAATCCACAAAGTGCAATGTCATTCTCCTGGTCATACAGTAACTGGACTCACCACTTACAATCCAGGGAGGGCTATTCGAAGTTGTGGAACGTTTTATGTGTCTTGCAAGTTTTATTAGTTCTGACTCTAGTGTGAAAATGGGGTCAACCCACGAATCTGCAAGGCCCGGGTCACGTTTGCTAATTTGGGACGCTGAGACACTTGTGGTGATTTGTACCTTTAGTTTACCTTCATTATAACACTACGTATTTCTTCATTTGCAAAATATTCCTCGTTTGAATACGAAAACACAAAAATTTGTACCTTTAGTTTACCTTCATTATAACACTACGTATTTCTTCATTTGCAAAATATTCCTCGTTTGAATACGAAAAACACAAAAACGCGCACTTGTACACGATTCACGCAATACAAGCTTGGCCACGTGCTTTGACTCTCTTCTGATTTCCCTCGAGCCTGCAGTCATTCATTCGGGAGTCTCATGTGCTAGCTCTGGTATCAAAACATTTCAGACCACCTTCGGAATCTATTATATGTGGGGACTGTTCAGACGAAGATCCCTGGACCACCATGATTGGATTATTGTTTATTCGCTGACCTGGACCAAAGATGATTTATTTTGAAGAGAACAAATATCAGTGAGTCTGTTCCATCTGACCACATTATTATCGTATACCCAATCTAGCGTTGTTATTTTTATTTCTTCGCCACACACTCCTGGCAAGGTAACTTATTGCGTAGCCAGACCACTGCACACTCAGTGGATTTTCCATGAATCTCAAGTACATGGGTATAAAGCTTCAGTGCAGGCTGTTTGGTTGTTTATCCGTGAGCCTTGACCTGTTCGAGCAGCGGAACTGAGACGTCTTCAGGTGTTCGACAATCGTTGATTCAGAACCATAGGTCGTTTGGGATGGTGACGGCGAATCCGTAACGAGGCAATCAGAAAGCGAGGTTTTGATTGTGCAACGGTTACTTACGTTGAAGAATTTGTCCAGCATCAGAAACTGCCAACTAATGTAAGTGGCGTTCTCGTTGCCAGTTTTTATCCATACTGGCTGAATGGGTACTTGGAGGTGTACGCGCGGCGGAATGATTGTGCTTAGCTAGCACCACACCCTTTGTCTACCTTTATGTGAGAATTAAGTTTCGTACGTATATCGGTATAACCAGACGAACTAGAAATCCAGAATTCAGCGAAGCGTAACAACCAGCACGTATGTATTCGAATTGGCGAATATGTACCGCATATGAAATATGAAAACAAGAGAATGATGAATAGAGTATTGAGTAGAGTATCAGTCATGCTCATTCAATCCGCCACACCTTGAATGAGCTTGCGGATGTTTATAGTCCAGTGGTGGTCTTGACCGCAATCTTTCGGATCTCCTCGGAATGGAAACTTTAGAGTCTTCACAGGTAGTACGTTCTTCAGACACTGCATTTTGGTCGGATACCACAAGATCATCTACAAAGGACTCATCAGTATTTGAAACAGCGGGGGTGCCGTTAACAGACTGACCTCTGGTATTGAACTCAACTTGGTCAATGTGTCTCCGATGACATCTAAATCGAGAATTGTGACCATTCATCTGCCAGTTGATGAAATTACTATTCCTACAGCAGGTTATAAATCATTACCCTTGAAAGAGGTACCATCAGCCGTTTTGGCACAGTCAAGACTTGTGCGCAACGAACAAGATTTAAATAGAAGCGCGGGACTCTTCCCAGTAACGGAATGGACGGCGTTCCTGTATTGCACTAGAAACTTATCGATCCCACGGTCCAATTCCACAAAAGTAGCAGGAGAAATTGAAATAATGGCAGACTTAAGTGTTCGGACAAAATTTCCAGCAAGTCGATTCGACTGGGGATGTCGTGGAGCAGCAAACAGATGTCGACATCCAAGGCCCTTCAACCATTCCTCGAGGAATTTTGCAGTGAATTGTGTGCCGTTGTCAGTGACTAAAAACATTTGGTACACCTTCATGGCTGAATACTTTCCTCAATGCTTGCTAAGTGAATTCGGCACTCAAAGACTTAGTCAAAAAAAACTTCAGGCCAACGTGAATATGCGTCAGTAACGGCTAAAGCATAGTATTTGCCGAGAAAAGGACCACAGTAGTCGGCATGAACTCGTTGAAACGCTTGACGAACAGGCTCGTGTAAGCCTAATGGAAGGATTCGTCTCCTGGGTATTTGCATGCCAGGCTTAGGACATTTAGGAATCGGTTTTTTGCTTTCGTTCTCATTCACAGAAGTCGGTAAGGTGATACTGGTTTGCAGTGAGCGTAGAACTTTTAGAACCCAATCGATGGTTCCGACGTTGAAACCAAAAAAATACAGTCGACAGAGGTACCTCGAGGTAACTTCACAGGGGTCGTGCAACTACCCACTAAAGGTACATAATGTCCAGTGATATCGCGAATATTAACACCTGTAGGCACTATCACGGCACTGTGGTAGAATGCAGTTAGATATGATTGTGGAATGATGGACTCAACACTACCAGTATCAACAATAAAGTCATGCTTTCGACCAGAAGCGGA